CGAGCTACGCCTCGCTCACGCGCTCGCTGCACGCCCACTCCTTCAACAAGATCACCTCCAACAACATCTGGTCGCACCCGTCCTTCCGCCGCGAATCGCCCGCCCTCGCAAAGACCATCACGCGCAAGCGGCCGCGGCCAGCAAAGGCGGCCGCGCCGCTCCGCCTTGGAGGAGGATAGCTGGGACGTCAGCCGCACGAGACTCTCGCGCAGCTCCGCCTGCCGCTCGCGCGACGTCGAGCCGCTCGTCCTCGCCGCCTGCAGCTCCTCCGTGAGTCGATTAATGAATTCACCAGCTAGCTAGCCAACTCACTCATTCCTCTCCGCTTCGCCGCCTGCAGCTCCTTCTCGCACTCGGCCGCCTCGGCCTTCAGCTTTGCGACCCGCTCGGCGAGGCCCTTCCTCCGCTCCTCGAAGCCGCCCAGCCGCCCCTCGAGCACGCCCCGCCTCGCCTTCATGAGGGAAGGGAGGTGCCGCATCTCAAGTGAGGTGACGCATCTCGGCGAGGGCCCTCGCAGAGGAGGGCGAGGAGGCACTCATTCGAGCAGCGATTCATTAAGTGGGGGGCCAAGTCAGGGAGGTTAATTCAGGGGGTGTGCGGCGCCGCGAGCTCGTCGAGCTTGGTGCGGCCCTGCATCAGCAGCAGCTCGTCCGAGCGCAGCTCGCGCGTCATCGCAGAGAGCTGCTCGTGCAGCGCCGCCGACTTTGCGCCCGCCTCCCCCTTGAGACGCGAGTACTCGTCGCGCTGCCGCTTGTTCATCTCGACCTCCCCGCGCGACTCCGCCTCCTGCTGCTCCGCCGTCGCGCGGGCGAGCGCGTCCGAGATGTCGGCGAGCTGCTTCTCGAGCCCCTTCTGCTGCTTGGTGGCCGCCTTGTGCGCCTCCTCGACCTTGTCGAGCGACTTGGCCTGCGGGGCCTGCGACGGTCCCCTCGAGGGCAGACTTGCTTGTGAGCGAGTCGTTTTCGCCAACGGGCCTGGTTGGGACGGGGACGATCGAGGGCGGCGCGCAGGCGGAGCCAGCCGGGGAGGAGCAGGAGGAGGCGCTGCGGGTCGACTTCTCTTCGCTGGCGGGGGAGGCGG